GGGGAGGGCAGAGTAGAGCAATTGCATCTCATAGAATATGCGTGGTCCCAAAATAAAATTCATCTGCTCCTTCAAATGTTCCACACCAAATCAACAGTTATTAATTCTAACAGTCAAGGGGAAACTGTTAGACTTGCTAAATCATTCATACCATGCTTGTATTTTTGGGTAATACACGTGGTTTTTAATACTGTGAACATTTACATTTAACTGATTTTAAAATCTAATGCCCAAATAATACAGGGAAAACCAAGTGAATCCCTACAAACAAACAGAAGATGTAAACAATCCAAGGAAAAATAAGCCATCCTGATACTACAGACTATAGAACTAATCAGAAATCTTTTGCACAATCCGAGTTTTCAATATCCTTTCTATTTTTATACTGCAAAGGGCCTCAAAAACTCTAGTTATAAAAAAAATAGGGCTCAGCCAGGTGCGGTGGCTGATGCCTGCAATCCCAGCACTTTGGGAAGCCAAGACGGGCAGATCACCTGAGGTCAGGAATTCGAGAACAGCCTGACCAACATGGTAAAACCCTGTCTCTACTAAAAATACAAAAATTAGCAGGGTGTGGTGGCGGGCACCTGTAATCCCAGCTACTCGGGAGGCTGAGGCAGGAGAATCACTTGAACCCAGAAGGCAGAGGTTACAGTGAGCCAAAATTGTGCCACTTCACTTCAGTTTGGCAACAGAGTGAGACTCGTCTCAAAAAAAAAATATATATATATACACACACACACACACATACACATATATATATATGATCAAGACAAAGATGAGTACTATTATTACCATTTCTGTTCAACAACATATAGGAAGACCTAGAAAGCACAATATAACACAAGGAAAAACCAATAATAAAATGATTAGAAAGAAAAAAGTAAAACTATTAATAGATGACATGATTGCAACATATTAAAAATTTTCTAAGAAACTACCAACTATCTACAAACTACTTTTAAAATAATATAGCACTGTCACCAGATGTGACAGTAACATATACAAACCAATTATAGTTTTATACACTAATAACAAATGAATGGAATGTAACATTAAAAGGAAGATCGCTTATAACAATATAACAATTAAATACATAAATAAGAATTAAAAAAAAAAAACAAAAATGTATAACTATGTTGAAAACCAGAAAGCATAACCAAGAGAAATCAAAGACCTAAATATATTATAGAATATATACCGCCAGTGTGTATTCTGGATCACAGAAAAAAAAACACACACACAAGTGTTAATGCATTTAAAAGCTCAATATTAAGATGCCAACTCTCCTAAACTGATTTACACATAGGCCCTAAATTTTAAAAACAAGTATTTTGTGTAGAAATTGACAAACTAAATCTAAAATTCAAACAGAAATACAAAAGACCTAGAATAGCAACAACAATCTTTTTAAGAAAAAGAATATTCGTAGGTTGTACTCGTAGGTACATACCCAAAAGAACCAAAAACACACATTGCCCAAAAAAACAAAACAAAACAAAATAAAAAAACCTATCCAAAAATGTTCACAGCACCATTAGACATAACAGCCAAAAAGAAGAAATCACCGAAATATTCACCCACAGATGAATGCCTAAACAAAATGGAATATTCAGCCAGAAAAATGAGTAACGTACTGACACAGGCTAAATGGATGAAACTCCAATCTACTGGTTGCCGGGAGATTGGAAGGGTTTGGGGAGAATGGGAGAAAACGCTACTGGATGAAGAGTTTCTTTCTGTAGTGATGGAAATGTTCTAGAATTAGATAGTGGTGATAACTGCATAACATTTTGAGTTTTATTTTTTAAAAAAATTAGAAAATCAATTTTTAGATTTTTACTATCAGATATAAACACTTAATATAAAGTTACACTAAGATAACAGAGGCTGGGCACAGTGGCTCATGCCTGTAATCCCAGTACTTCGGGAGGCCAAGGCGGGCAAATCACTTGAGGTCAGGAGTTCAAGACCAGCTGAGCCAACATGGCAAAACCCCATCTACGCTAAACATCCAAAAATTCACTGATGGTGGTGCATGTCTATACTCCCAACTATCAGGAGGCTGAGGTGGGAGAATCACTTGAGCCCAGGAGGGGAGGCTGCAGTGAGCTACGATTGAGCCACTGCACTTCAACCTGGGCTACAGAGCATCTCACTCTGTATCACACACACACAAAAAAAAAACAAGGCAATACAGTATTAACAAAAGACCAAATAAATGACCAATGAAACAGAAACAGACCCATATATACATGAGATACTTACTACAGAGACAACACTACAGTAAAGTGGGAGCAGAGTAGTTTTCCCATAAATGATTAGATAGCAGAAGATAGAACAAGTATAAAAAAGAAGATGGATTAGAAGAAAATATCCATAATTAACTAAGGAGACATAAAACAATTGAAAATTCTATCAGTTATGATGATGAGATATAACGTATATAAAAATGAAGGCTCAAAAAGACAGGAGACAAAATGGAGCAGAAGCAATATTTAAAGAGTTAACTGGCTATTTCTCTAAAGCTATGAAAGATATCAGTTAAAACTTCAGGAAGCTATAAACTTAAGATTCAAGAAGTCCTATCAATCTGAAGCGGAATAAACACAAATGAAACCACATGTAGGAACATCACAGAAAAATTCTGAAAGCAAAAAAAGGGGAGAAGGGCAATCTCAGAAAGTTTGAGAAACGACCTTTAAAAAGCAATAATAAGACTGACAGATGACTTCTAACAAATACAATCTAAGCTAAAAGACAAGGAAAGATTACCTTTAAATCACTAGTAAAAATAACTAGTAACTTAGAATCCCTATAGAATTCTTTATTATATTAAGTTTAATCATGTATTGAAAATCAGATGACACCGCAAAACTGATTATGTTAATTTAACTGATTACAACACTGGTTGCATAATAAATTATAATTAATTTAGGTAATTATGATCAGATATTAGATCTGTTTTGAAGTATTTTGGCAAAGAAAAAAAGAATAGCCAAATGTGAAAAGATAACAATGATACTGGAATTTGGATAATGGCTATGCTGCTTGTTCATTCGAGTATTCATAAAACTTTGAACTTTTTCCCAAAAAAACCTAATTGAATGTGTCATCAGTAAGTAAGTACAAAAAGAGATATTAAGAGTATTTTTCAGACCTAAGAAAAATTATACCAGATAAAAGCTCAAAGACAAAGGAATAAAAAGCAATGAGAATGGAATTATGAGGTAAATTCAAGTGAATACTGAATATAAAAAATTATAATAATGTATTATGGGAATTCATATATACTTCTGGAATCCAGACTATATATTCTGGATTATGGGAATTAATTATGTATTATGGAAAAAAACATATACTTCTGGAATCAGAGTAAATACTGTGATCTCAATGATATAATTACTAAAAGAATGGTTCAAGAATAAAACGGAAAAACTGACCAATAAAAAATATAACAAACCCTAAAAACAGAAAAGGAAGAAAAAGAAGCATGTAACCAACCATCAGGACAATGAGAAATAGAACAGTACATATAAAAAATCATGGTAGACTTAAACAGGAATATATCACTAATGACATTAAACGTAACTGAATTAAACTCTCCCACTGAAAGACAAAAGTATCAGGCTGGATTTTTAATAAATCCAACTACATGCCACTTATACAAAGTATATCTAAAACATAAAGAAACACTGAAAAGTTGAGAGTAAAAAGATGGAAAAATATATACCATACAAACAGCAGTCAAAGAAGGCTGGTGTTAACTAAGCAAACATCAGACGAGGTAAATCCTAGGAGAAATAGCAAACTTAAAGATAAAAAGATAACTCATGACAGGTGCAGTGGTGTGTGCCTGCAATCCCAAGTACTTGCAAGACAGGGGCAAGAGGGGCATTTGAGCCCAAGACCAGCCTGGGCAACACAGCAAAACCCAATCTCAAAAAATAATAATAAAAGATAATTCATAATGATAGAAGAAATTTCCAAGAATTCACAACCATTCTAAATTTATATGATGGTCTCAAAATGTATAAAAATTGATGACAAAAAATAAACAAATCTACCATTTTTTAACATACTGGCCTCACTAACTAAAAAACAAACAGGTAAAATAACCAATAAAGATAGAGAATCTGAAGAACACAATAAGCAAACTTGACCAAAAGGATATATAGAGTACACTTCACCAACAAGTGCAGAGTTAACATTATTAAGTATGGATGGAATATTTATAGAATTTGACCCTCTACAATTCTCAACAAATTTGCAAGATCAACAATCTGAGTATCTGACTCCACAGCATTTAAATAGGAACCAACAGCAAAAAGATTAGTTACTTACTGAAGCTGAATATATGAATACCATATGACAGTGAATCAACTTCTACAGTCCTATTCAAAAGTATATCCATCAGTACTATTAGCTCCACAATGAAACAACTCAAATGTCTATCAGCAGTATACAAACCAATAGTGGACGCATAAATTTTGTTTTATTCGGACAACAGAATTCTAAACAGCAACGAAAAAGAACCAACTGTCTATATGCAATGATATAGATTAATGTCATAATCATAGGATTGAAAAGAAGGCCGACCAAATATACATACATGTGCAATTCTATGTTATACAGACCTTACTCAATCACTATTCAAGAAAGCATCATTAAGTGGTTATTCATAGAAATCAACAAAAACCAAGAAGTAACTACTCTAAAAGGATGATGTTTAGCTTCTGGAGAAAATGAGGAAGAAATAAATGGAAGTGGTCATGAAGACACGCTTTGGGGTGCTAGAAATGTTCTTTCTTTACTTATCAGTCGTCACATAGACAATGTGTACCATGACAAACTACTGAGCTGTGCAATTATTTTCTGCACTTTTCCACATAGGTATTATATTAATATTAACATGTTTCAAAAAAGTAAACAGGAAGTTGAGAGACTACAATCATCTTTCAGCTCCTTATAATCACTAGTCAGCACTTTGCCTTAACATTTAATAAAAATCTCTCTTTAGGCAGTTTCATTTTGGGTGAAATAAAGAGGTGGTGGCATATATATACACAGACTACCTCTGTAAAGACAAGAAACTGGTTCCATTGCTTGCTTTGCAGGGGGAGAAATGGGTGGGGAGTGTGGAGAAATACTTCTTCAAACCTAACCTTTTATCTTTTAAAAATTATGTGCCTTCTAAAAGCATTACTTACGCAAACACATGAATTTTCTTAAAATAAAATAAAAATCCAGGATACTTAATTTCTTTTTCTTTCTGAGATGGAGTCTCACTCTGTCACCCAGGCTAGAGTGCAGTAGCACAATCTCAGTTGACTGCAACCTCCACCTCCCAAGTTCAAGCAATTCTTGTGCCTCAGCCTCCCAAGTAGCTGGGACTACAGGCACCTGCCACCACACCCAGTCATAATTGTTGTATTTTTAGTAGAGATGGGGTTTCACCATGTTGACCAGGCTTGTCTCAAACCAGGATACTTAATTTTTTTTTTTTTTTTTTTTTAAGACGAATCTTGCTGTTTGCCCAGGCTGGAGTGCAGTGGCGCAATTTTGTCATGGCATGTTTCTATTCTAATGTAAATGTAAAAGTTTCTACAAAATAACTCTATATTCCAAGAAAACAAATATAAATTAATTTTGACCTTTCTAGAATCACCATATAAAGGAAATATTAGGTTTTTATCTAAAAAGCTCATATTCACTACACAAACTGTGAATTTCACATAGTAGTTACCTCCACAATTGGATACATAAGGCAATTCCTAACAAAAAGACACTCAAATAAAGAACTGATAAATTCCTTTTAAAACCTCTTGCTATTCTGAAACCAGCTAAGATTAAATTTTTCATGACTTTTGTAGCAAACCATTTTCGCTTTTTGTTAAAACTGTTGAGGAGACTAAGATGGTACCCAATTACACAAAACCATCAACAGAAGAATCACGTTAAGACAATATTCAAACCCTTCAGTGACTAATATAGACATAAAATCATAAACCAATCTTCTTAATTGAAAGACTTCTATTATTCATACTGCAATAGAAGTAACTATAAATAAATACCGATCTTCCTACGTGAGGAGGAAAAAAAAAATCACAGAAAACAAGAAAGAAAATAAACAAGTTTCCACTGATTGATGGTCAAAAACTTAATTTTTAAGTGAAGGTATTTAACACACCAAGAACATCACATATTCAACAAACCCAAATAGTACCTCATCACATATTCAAGGTAGTTTTAAACTAGTTCGAAAAACAGTATTCCCTCTTTACTCATATCAACCTTCTCAAAAACATCATTCCATAGTAGAAAACATGTAGTCTATTTTTACTCTTCCACTTCCACCATATTTGATATTTTTCAAATTGAAAAATTTCTGAAAGTGCATACACATAAAAACAATGATTTAAGACAGTGTTCTAAGTGGGTACAGGGAGGAAAAAAACCTATGAACTGACTTAGCAAAGAATATAAAACAATTTATATTTCCCCCAAATGTCTCTCCCACAAATAAATTTCCACTTAACATAACAGCAATGAAAATTACATAATTAGAACTAATATTTAAATACATAAATATCACTTTATTACTGCATAAAGTATATAATAAAAGAAGGTATATACCAGTAAACGTACTTGCATCATCCCTTTCTATTCTGGTTCCATCACTAGTTGACACACAAGTAAAGTGCAGAGGTTCAACTTCCAAAAGTCCAGTGAGAGATGTGAAACTACCCTCAGCAGCTGTGCAACTACTGACCTTTCCATTTCCTAATGGCAAAAGACAAGTTTTATAATATGTGAAGATAATTTTTAAAAAGCAATAGTCCTAACAATAATTACAGCTGCAACTTCAATTTTAATTAGAACATACAAATACACAACTCTTACACAGTGCTTGAATCATGGGCATGGTATTAACAAAACTGACAAAACAGCAGACACCAGTTCCCCTGCTACAAAAGCAGATTTGGATAAAAGCAACTTAGTAGCCCTTCACATTAACAGAAACATGAGTGGTAGTTTCCTATAACATGAAACTTATATTTAGTAACAAGTGATTTCAATTTCAAATGGGGTGAAAAAAGTAGTAAATCAGCTACTGACATTAGCTATCACATATGTAAAATCAGAATACATTTTATGATGTCAACTGCATAAGTATAAGACATAAAACAAAGGATGATCATTTCAAAATATTAACAAGATTTATACATTGTTTCTTGTATTTTGTTCATATTATCAGTTTTATAGAATAAGGCACACTACTTCATAGTCACAAAAATAGTTTAAGCTAGCATAAGTAGTTTTTAAAAGAAAAAACCATGTAGCCACAACTATATGACCAATAAAACCACAGCAAGAAGACTGGAGGGAAGAACACAAATGAATTCACAAGGACTGTGTATGTAGTTTGGGAAGGCAAGGATTATATTCACTACTCTCCAATTTTTTTTTTTTTTTGAAATTAGCACTCATATAAACAGAATTCACAGATGAAAAGAATGGGGAGATATAAAAACTGTCATTAACAGCTGAAGGATTGTCAAATACAAGAATAAACTATCATAACCTTGTTTTCCAATGTCTTATTGGGGGTCAGCATAGGGCCTTACACGTGTTCCGAAAAATGCTTATTGCACACTTACTTAATACAAGAATTGGGAGACCGAAGAGTAAAAGGATAAGTCCCAGTCCTCATGAAGACTATATTCTATGTTAGTGATTATTAGGAATTAACGCAACTTTTTTTTTAAGCTGCAAGGTTTTACTTAAGAGAAATTTAAAGGACTTGTAAGTCAAGGGGCAATCAATACTAAGTCATGGGATAACAAAATGCTTCTCTGATGAAATGAGGGCATTCATGGGAAGAATAAGAGAGTTTTATATATTTGCTCCCTTGAAGTGGGAGAAAAGCCATGCAGAAAGAATATGAGTGAAATCCCCATAGTAAAGAAACATGGCACATTTAAGGAACTGAAAGAACAATATGGCTAGAGGGAACAGTTCTCAATTCTAAGATCCCTCTACATATCTTTAAAATATTAAGAACCCTGAAGAGCTCTTGTTTTCATTGTTTTACTGGTACTTACCATAGTAGAAATTTTAAGATGTGAAATTTAAATATTAATTCATTTAATAATAAACGCATTAAATGTTAAAATAGCATAATTTGATGAAAAATAACTGTTCTCTGAAGCAAAAATAATTTAATGAAAAAAGTGACAATGTTTTACCTATTTAAAAATCTCTTTAAAATGTGAAGTATCAGAGGATACTTGGATTCTCCTACCTGCCTCTGCATTCGACATGTTGTAATATGTCATTTTAGTAGAAGTAGGTGAAAAAATCTGGCCCAACACAAATATGTAGTTGGCAAAAGAATACTTTAACATACTTGCATATTCAAAAACTTGACAAGTGGTAATTTCTTAAAGGTTACAATGTGGTATCTGAAATCTTACCAATGAACTTCTCAAGCTCTGTTACATTAAGATCAGCTGATATATCTTATACTTTTAAGGAACTTTACCCATACATAATGGTGAAACCATTGCATTGATCATTTGGAAAATATTGGTTCACCACTGTATACAAATATTCCAAATGTTGACACATTTCATTATCCAATATTGGAAAATTACACTCTCTAATATCAGATCCCATGAGAAAAGTCCACATACTGGGAAGCTATCAAGCTCACTATGGGAGATATGTTTCTCATTCACTTTTCAAAAAACACTGTCAAGTAACACAGTGTAAATGAGCGTAGTTTGTCTGTCAGTCATTACTGCAAATAAAAATGGTATTCCAAGAATCAAGCAAGTAGTTCAGCTTGTAACTCAACTGCACAATTCCCTGAAACAAGCATGGTACTTTGGCATGCCACAGAAGTACTCTATGCATATGTATCATTCATCTCAGAATAAAAGATGTGTATTCATGGGTTAAAATTTTAATAAAATTAATAATTTTTACTGCATCAAGGGCATTTTAAAATGAAACTGATGTTTTTATTACAAGTGCATAGTGAATAACACCATGTTTTTTCACAATTGATAAAAATGTCAATGAAATCAAAAAGACAAATAACGTCATTCTACTATCATCCAAATAGTTATGACCATATAGATCCCCTTAATGATCTCAGGAACCCTTTGGGGGTCTATAGAACACACTTTGAGAATCACAGGGCCAAAGAAGACTAAACAGGGCAATGACACAAGATAAAGTGGCAAGGAAAAAACAGTCAAATCATTTAGGATTTTCTATGCTGTATTACAAACTCTGAACTTCAGAAGATGGGAAGACATGAGAAGTATTCTAAGTAGAAAGGTAAAGTAATTGAACGATCACACTCAATGCAATGTGGAGAATGTACTGAAGTGAGGCAAGAATAGATGTAGGAAGACCACTGTGAAAGCTATTATTGTAGTCTGGGTTCAAGATGACTGTAACTTGTGATCATGAGAAGTAAGAGAGTGAACAAACTCGAAATACAGTCAGCTCTCTGTATCTGTGGGTTTGGTGTCCATGGATTAACCAACTACAGACAGAAAATATTCAGGGGAAAAAAATGAATGGCTGAGTCTGTTACAGTCTTTTTTCCTCGTCATTATTCCCTACACAATACAGTATAACAAGTACTCATGTAGCATTAACATTGTATTAGGTATTATAAGTGATGTTGAAACAATTTAAGGCACACAGCAGGATATGCGTAAGTTGTATACAAACTGCACTACACCATTTTTTATAAGGGACTTTAGTATCTACAGATTTTGTTGTCCGCGAGGAGTCCTGGAACCAATTCCCCACGGATAGAGAGGAACAACTGCGTACACTAGTGGAAAAATAGGTGCCATATGGTGGTATCCTCAATGTGGGAGATAAGAAAGATATAAGTATCAAGAATGACACTCACATTTCTGTCTTGTGCCACAGATGCCATTAAGAACAACAAAAACAAATGCTGTAGAAAGACTAATAATGAGGAACAACATGATGAGACATTAAAGTGGAGACATATCATGATTTCTAAATCCCTTGTTCTGAGTCTTCTTTACTCATTTGCAAACTTGACTACCTCAGAGTTTGGAATGAACCTTACAGTCTTTCCCTTACACTTTCACCCTAACAGATTTAACTGCTTCTTTTGGTATACTGAAGGCATTGGTATCTCCAATTCTAGTCTCTCCTCTTGGTTCCAATCATAAATTGCAATGGCCTAATTGATGCGTCACTTGGATAGAGAAGACAGAAAATGGTGAGATGGGCATAAGGCAATCAGAGCCTAAGGCATCAAATACAGCAATAACATATATCCAAGTCAGCATAAGTAATTAAAAAGCAAGTGACAGACCGGTACGTGTAGTATGATCTATCATTAGAAGCTATATTAACGAATACGGGTAGCAAACAAGTTTAAATAGCTAAACATCCAGTTAACAATAGTAACTTAAGAGGGTGGAAAGGTTGGGGTTGAGGCATTTTACATTTCATTTATATTTCGGTATTTGATTTTTTTTATTTTGCTTTTATCATACCTCATAAGTTACTTTTCAACAAAATTGAACTTCTCCCTCAAAATTTATTTATATCTGGTTATTAATCTGTTTGCAAATTTTCTAACATTTTTGTTTCCTAACAACATTTGTAGTAAGTGTAATTAGATGGAAGAAAAAAATGAAATGGTCACTGTTTTATCTAACAAAAATAGACAGTAAATTTTAGCACTTAAAAAGATTATGTAAATAGTTATGCATACATCCGAAAAACACATTCTTCAGAAAGTATAAAAGGATATATGTAATGTATACAAAGCTTACCTCAAGAAAGTGACAGATGCAGAAAATTATCTTTTGTTTGTGCATCCTTATTTATTACAGTAAGTATATATTACTAATTTTGTATTTTTGAAATAGGAAATTTTTTTAACTTTATAAAGGCAGCAAAGATATATCGAATAAAACTGAAAAGGCTACAACAAATAAATCAAATTTTAAATAGTCTCATATAAGCATCAAAATCACAGTGAAATGAAATGCGTAACAGAAACAAAAAATTAAAGTCACAACCCTTTCAAACATGACTTTAATATACTGGGATTTTCTTCAGGGGGAAAGAGGAAGTTAAGAACTTCTAGCAAATATTTTAATGATTCATATTTTAAGTTCTAAGGAATTTTAGTTTTCTAAAGAAAAAACATCATGACTACAATCTGTTAAGTCAAATGGCAACTTAAATCCAAGATACAACATTCAGAATTTCCTTTAATAAAAGAAATCACTACCTGAAAGGACATCTGATAAATCAATTTCATCTGACTGGACACCAATGCTGCTGTTATAAACATTTTTACAAGAAGAGCCACTCATCTCCAAATCAAAGAGGACTGGATCAAATGGTGAGCTATATAATCCATATCTGAAAAACAAAATAATGCACTAACGATTTTCCTTTCAGCCATCTAATTAACAAATTACCTTTACTTAGTTTTAAAAGCAGTCTAACAGTGCCGAGGGAGATGCTGACTACATTTGACCCCTCAAATTCAGTGAATCTCAACTATGTTCCCTGCAATCTATACTCTAAAGGACACTGTCCAGCGACTCAACATATGTGATTCCAATAAGCTGGCAACTAAGGTACTAAGACTGCCACCTGCAGACTGAAGCGAGGGTAATCAGGCACCATTCTCTCCCCTGAATCATTACAACACAGCCTCAAGTACAAAGGCTTTGAGTAAAATGTTATCAAAATCAGAACATCTAATCTAGGAAATTCTAAAATCTCTGCTCTAAATAAAGGAATGCCCTACTTCAAACGTAGACCATCAGGCAAGAACTTAAATCTAACCTTTTGCTATTGCTTAATTCATCATGTTACAAGTTTTAAAATATAAGTAGCAGGTAGAAGAATACTAGTTATGGGACAATAAGTGATTCACATAATTCCATCTATAAAGTGCATAGAGAAACAGACACATTACATTCTTCTTCCATTAGCAGGGGATACCACTTTTCAGTATTAAATAAAATTAGCCCTCTGAATAATTATCATAAGGATTTATCAAACTGTTAAAGAGTAATTTCTGGCTGGGGACGGTGGCTCACGCCTGTAATCCCAGCACTTTGGGAGGCCGAGGCGGGCAGATCAACTGAGGTTGGGAGTTCACGAACAGCCTAACCAACATGGAGAAACCCTGTCTCTACTAAAAATACAAAATTAGCCGGGCCTGGTGATGCATGTCTATAATCCTAGCTACTCGGGAGGCTGAGGCAGGAGAATCGCTTGAACCCGGGAGGCAGAGATTGTGGTAAGCCAAGATTGCGCCATTGCACTCCAGCCTGGGCAACAAGAGCGAAACTCAGTCTCAAAAAAAAAAAAAAAAAAGTAATTTCTGAGAAAACAGAAGAAAATAAAACCTCAGGCTACTATCATGTGGAAAAAGTAAGGTATAAACTAAACATTTTCGCAAGAAAAATACTATTTTCAGCATATATATATAAAATAATAGTTCTCTGCAACGGCGTGATCATACTCAGAGACACCTGCTATTAATCATTAGATATACTAAAATACCTTGTCTGAAGTAAAGCTTCCATTGGCGTTAGCCTGTCCTGTAACTGTCTGGACACTGCAGTAAGCAAAGATGCACAAGCTGTACTGCATCCAGCCAGATCTTCATCTTTCACATAATTCAGTAAGACAAAATACCAATAGACAGAACCTGGAAACAACAACAACAAAATAAATGTTTCTTTTTCCTCCTTTTCCTCTAATAATGAGAATTTAAGATTACCTGTTTATCAGAATACCTCCTTTTGCTAAAAAGATACTCCTTTTTCTGGAAAAAAAATCTTATGGGCAATTTACAAAGACAACTCCTTGGAGGGATCGAAGAGGACACTTAAAATATAAACACACTGACACACAGTCTTACACTAAGAATTTCAAATATTTCTGAAGAGTTTCATAAAGTCAACACAGGCATTTAGGTGTATAATAATGTGAGATGACTCTGAGGGACACTTCAAAATAGCTGAAAAAGTGAGGAGACTGCAGGTCCTTCAAGTCATCCTTACCGAAATACTGTTTCTCTGTACAAAACTTTTTAAAAATAGAGGATGGCAGTGAGCTTCAAATAGCCCATTTTAGTGAATGAATGGGGAATAAAATTATTCTATAATGTGTTAGGTACAGATCAACATTGCTTAAAAGATTATCATGACAAGCGTATTTTTGCTTTTTTTTATTAACTGCTACATACATGCCAAAATTTAAGCATCCTAACTTTAGAACTATCCTTAAGAAGCTTTTAAACATTAGAGACTATCGTAACTAGTTGTAATGAGCAACTGAGTCAAAATGTTCTATTCCAGAGTTAATAGTTGTAGCCACAATATGTTCCATGTAAATATAAACACACTTTATCTAAATTAAGAGAATGATATAACTTTTTAACAACTCTGAACAAGCTTTTTTTTTTTAAACACAAACATGAAATCTTTATGAAATACATAACTCACTGAGGTACTTGTTGAATAGGTTGTTTTTTTAAACTCCTGGCCTCAAGCAATCCTCCCTCCATGGCCTCTCAAAGTGCTGGGATTACAGGTGTGAGCCACTGTGCCCAGCCTGAATGGTTTGTTTTTTTAATAAAACAGATTGTGAAAAATATCTATCAATAAAATTTGACTTAAAAGGCCAAATTAGTAGCCCTTCATAGTAACACTATGTACTAGCAAAAACAGTAAGCATCTTTAAAAATCTTCATTACCTTATGTATGTGGTATTTTAGAGAACTGCTTTATGAATTCCTACTTGATAACTACATTCATTCTTTTTTGATACACAGTAATTGCACATATATAGGGGGTACATGTGATGTTTTGAAATATGTATGCAATGCATAATGATCAAATCAGGGTATTTAGGATATCCGTCACCTCTCTGCATTGGGAACATTTCAAATCTTTTAACTATTCTGAAATATACCACAAATTACAGCCACCCTACCATGCTATCAAACACTAGAACTTATTTCTTCTAACCATACGTTCATACTCATTTATCAACCTCTCTTCAAATCCCACTCACACCCTTCCAGACTCTGGTATCCATCATTCTACTCTGTACCTCCCATTACATTCATTCTTGAAAGGCATTTCCACAGAGTCCTCAGGTGCTTTAAAACAACAACAACAACAACAACAACAACACTGGCCCCTTTTAGGAAATTCCAGTTTGCCATAGTTCCTACCAATCACACAAAACATATGTGTGTGCAGTGACACCTGGACCGTTTTACTTATTTATGTCACCTCCCTGGCACATGCTGGAATTCTAGCTTCTGACATCTGATCTGTTATAGTCAGTAAACAACCAAACAACTCAATGATTGTAATGAAGTACAGAAAAATAGTTATGAATTAAGATGACTTGATAGTAACGTTAACTGTCCCATCAATCTTTTCCTTGGAGTATTATTGATGGAGTATATGCCCACCCAGCCACAATCTATCAATCCCTTCAAAAAATACAGATAAGCTACAGAAAAGTGAACTTTAATAGAGAAAACATAGTTACAAAATAATCCTAAGTAATATATATGAGATGTTCCATATGACTACAACTATTTGTGATTAATTTTACATACCACCAGTTGCTGCTGCAGGTAAAAACGACATATTATCAAGTAAAGCCTTCAACAGAACAGATCCAAATCCTGGTTGACATGGGTCACATTTGCCATTACTGAAAAATTTTTTAAAAGAAAAATTGTAAAGACATTACTCAAGGTCTAAATTGTACCCTAAACCTGGTGTGGTACTTAAAAAATCTTAGCTCTATAAAATACCAAAAGATAACACGGACTGATTATACTAAGGATCATTGTAAATTTTTTCTTATGCATTAAACCATTATCTTTACAATAGTCAATACTGACCATTAGCTCTTAGACACTTCCTAGATACAGCAGCAAGTAGGAACCTTTAAACATTAAGAACCCGTATATGCAGTTTCAATTTCTACGGTTTCAGTTATACATGGTCAAGTACAGTTCAAACACAGGTGAGTACAGTAAAATAAGATATTTTGAGAGACCACATTCATATAACTTTTATCATAGTATATTATCATAACTGTTCTATTTTATTAGTAGCTATTGCTAATCTCTATGTCCAGTTTATAAATTAAACTTTACTGCAGGTATGTACACATAGGAAAAAAACAATACCATATATATGGCTCAGTACTAGCTACAGTTTCAGGTATCCACTGGGGAGGGGAAGGGTCTTGGGACACATTCCCTGGGGACCAGGGCAGACTGTTCTAATTTGTTTCAGGGTTTAGAAAAAAGGGGTCTGCACAATGCTACAAAAAAAGTCGGTAAGATTGTTATATAACAGAGAAAACACTTTAGGGCAAGAAAAGACAACCAAGGAAAATAGGAGTGAAAGGGGTGTAAGAGTTCCCTTGCCAAATTCTCCAAACTGCTACTAATAGGCAGAGAAGTTCAGCAGACTTCTTTTCTTAAAAGTTAAATAGGCCAGGCGCGGTGGCTCACACCTGTAATCCCAGCACTTTGGGAGGCTGAGGTGGGCAGATCACAAGGTCAGGAGATCAAGACCATCCTGGTTAAAATGGTGAAACCCCATCTCTACTAAAAATACAAAAAAAAATTAGCCGGGCACGGTGGTGGGCGCCTGTAGTCCCAGCTACTCGGGAGGCTGGGGCCGGAGAATGGCATGAACCCGGGAGACAGAGCCGGCAGTGAGCCGAGACAGCGCCACTGCACTCCAGCCTGGTCAACAGAGTGAGACTCTGTCTCAAAAAAAAAAAAAAAAAAGTTAAATACCCTTATTTAACATGACACTTTCGCCTAAGAACCCAAAATTCTTGCTAAGATTATCAACAATCTTCATCAACTTTGGAAATTCTCTTAAATTACACATACATTAAACAAGGATCAAATTACACTATAAACAAGGTATCACCCACTAAATTGCAGGTGTACCTAGCAAGTATGCTTTCAACTTAAAAACATACCAACCTAATGCACAAGGCTAGAAATCGGGCACACTTATGGGCTATACTTCGTCCTGCCTCAAAGAAGCAAACACGTACGATGTCTGACAGACATTTTCGTGTTTTCGAAAGTAAGCTCTCATTTCCTTCCTTTGAGCTGCAAAACAACAGCAGACATTTAGACTCATCTTGTATTTTCAATCAAAACATCCAAAAGGCAATCAACAGTGGTAAGCAAAATTTTAATTATTAACCTTCCAGGTCCATTTGAATGAACTCCAGCTAACCAACAGAGAGTATCCAACACAAGGCTCTGGGCATGTTCTGTGATCTGGCCATCATCTGTTTTTCTGCAAAGAGTGTTAAGAAGCTTCTCATGAAATTCTGAAAACTGTAACATAGCACATCGTTGCACTCTACAAAAAAAGAAAATATAAACACATTACCAACCAAAACAGAACAACTGAAGCTATCACAACCTGGCTGGTAATGCAATGTTTCATTTTAAATCATGAACATCGCAAGTATATTTAAACAATTAATAGCTATACGTCAAGTATTTCATTTGTAGAAAAAAAAATTTTTTAATTACATTTACAATAATGTGTTATAATGTAATAAGGAATGCGCATAATTTCTTTTTGTTTTGTTTTCTCCAGAAATTGGGTGTCTCTCTGTTGTCCAGACTGGACTCAAACTCTTGGGTTCAAGAGATTCTCCTACCCCCACGTCTTGAGTAGCTGGGACTACAGGTACACGCTCCCTTGCCTGACGAGTGTATGTCAAATTAATATCTATCATCCATTCCTGCTACATAACAAGCACTGTGCAGACACAAGAGATAAACCAATGAAGTATAAAGACGACTCATACTCTCATCAAGACTATAATTATTTAAGAAACATTAACAAACAAAAATTTTCAGGTAAAAGATTTTTATATTTGTGTGTCTATGTGTGTGTTGCTATGTTTTGCACTTTCATTACTGTAAGAATAGCAAGATAATGCAATGAAATTACCTTTCCTTAGAAATTGATGTTTTCTTAAATCTTCGAATGGTGACAGAGACCTCTTGAAGTAAATCACAGCCCCGGAGGTTTTCAGATTTACGGGTGCCACTTGTATTTTCATTCTTAACATTAGATGATTTTTCCTAAACATTATAAATAATAATAAAATTCAAAAAAAAAAACTAAACTAAAAATCATTTACCATTAAAGTTATAAAATAAAGGAAAATAATTGAATTGTGGCCGTCAAAACATAAATCTCAAATTAAAATGACAGCTTTTACCCTCATATTCAGTAAATGACTAATTTTCTCCGGAATTACAATAGGGGAAAAAAAGAAAGACACAACCACTATTTTAAAGGCAATAACCCAATGATTACAGATGATAAAACCAAAGTCCTAAGTCCAATTCCCGCTGGGTGCAGTGGCTCAGGCCTGTAATCCCAGCACTTTGGGAGGCCAAAGCAGACAGATCACTTGAGCTCAGGAGTTCGAGAACAGTCTGACGAACACAGTGAAACCCCGTCTCTACCAAAAAATACAAAAGTTAGCCAAGCATGGTGGCAAGTGCCTTTAATCCCTGCTACTTGGGAGGCTGAGTCAAGACAATCACTTGAACTCAGGGGGTGGAGGCTGCAGTAAGCTGAGATTATATCGCTGCACTCCAGCCTGGGCAACAGAGCAAGACTGTCTCAAAAATACTAATACTAATAATAATAATAATAAATAATAAAATAACTACATGAGATATGTCAGGCTCCCCAATCGCTAAGGTTCACTTTCAATATTTAAAAAAGGGAGATAACAGAACCTGCTATGCCTACCTCAGAGTTATAACGAAGATTGCATCAGATAAAGTATACAGAAGTCCTTGAAAAACTGGAAGACCTATATATATATGTAAGATGATTGGTATTACTGATCAGTATCAGTATGATACCTTATGAATAATGATGATAAACAAAACCTCCTTCCTGAGTTCCATGAAATCCAAGATAAGTCAATTGTAAAGAGCTGCACAGTTCACAGCTACTTTCAGAAAATCAACCATGAGGATTAGAACCTCTCTTAAAATTATTCCCCAACTTCTTTCTGTATACTCCCAAATATTCACCAAAAACAAGATTGTGAGTTGCCAATAGAGGGCATATGAAGAAACTCTCATACCAAAAAAAATAAACATTATGGTCTAAAATAATTATAAGGGGAAATATCTGCTAACAATTACTCTCTACTCAGTACACATTATAAAAGTTAGGTAATTTGCCTAAAGTTAATTCAGGCTGGGTGCAGTGGCTCACGCCTGTAACCCCAGCACTTTGGGAGGCCAAGGTGGGCAGATCACCGGAGGTTAGGAGTCGAGACCAGACTGGCCAACATGGTGAAACCCCGTCTCTACTACAAATACAAAAATTAGCTGGGCGTGGTGGCACATGCCTGTGATCCCAGCTACTAGGGAGGCTAAGGTGGGAGGATGGCTTGAACGTGGGAGGCGGATGTTGCAGTGAGCCGAGTTTGCGCCACTGCATTCCAGCCTGGGGGAAAGAGTGAGACCCCATCTCAAAACTACGAAATAAAATAAAATAATAAAGTTAATTCAAAACATTTCTCTTTCCAAATATATTTAAGTCACTCCAAAGAAAAAATACAAACAAATCAAGTGTATAGTAAAACATCACTGAAGGGTCATACTACTTCTAACAGTGTGTTAAATCTGATCCACAATGTTTACAACAGTATTGTTATTGCTCAAAATGACAGTTTCATACCTTGCCTGCTGCAACTTTAGCCAAAAGTGAAGCAAGTGAGTAACCCTTGTTACTCTGGTGTTTTAGGGATGGAAGCCTTACTACAGGACGTATTCCACCATTACAAATCTCTTCTGTTCCTCTTTCATTCACTGCCTTGACATGGATTAAAAACGAACGATATTTTCCTCCTGCCATACCTAGAGAAGTGGAGTAGAATGGGGAAAATAACTGAATCACCAATAAATTCCACTGTTTTTCATCTTCATAGAACAAGATCAACAACTAACTCCACAAAAAGTACAGTAGGCCAGAACTTTCAAATTATACTGTTTGAGCAGAAGAAAGTTGAACCACCTGCACATGCTGTCAGCAAAAAACAATGAACAAAGGAATGATGTGAATAGTATAAAACCATTATCTTTGACTAACTGAGATAAACATTTGGCATGTTTTTTCCCCAATCTTATTCATTTTAATGGTAAAAATGTTGTAAACTACACACACACAAACACACACACACAAAACTGTCATTAAGCTATCATCCAGATAATTACAGAATATATATCCATCCAGTCTTCTTGTGCATACATGTACACACATCCATATATATGTGCATATATACACATAGCATTACAGTACTGATGGTTAAAAATGTGCATGCAGGCTTTGGAGTCACTACCTGGGTTTGGATAAAGGCTCTGCCATTTATTAGGCACGTGACAAATTATCCTCTCTGTGGCTCAGTTTTTTAATGTAAAATGATACTAATAGTTCCTACCTCAGAGTTAACTAAACCACTCTTAACTGTGCTTGGCACAAAGAAAGCACTCAAATAATTATTATCACTAGTACGTGTTTTATATTAACTAAACGGGGATACTATACAATCTATATATAAAATACATTTCTTAATTATCATCAAATTACTACATCTGCCAGCAAACTATCAGTCTGTTGCTGCATTACCAGGTATTAAATCTTTTCAAGATTATAAATGCTATCACTCTACTTAGCTACCTGCCTGCTGTGCTAGCACTACACTGTTACATTTTTCTTAACACTACTGTACTATTCTCTGTGTTGTGGTATCTGACATTCTGTTTCAAAATTTCTTTGGCCAATGTTACCCCTTTACTCTTCCATAAAAACTTAGCACTTACCTTGTTCAGTTTCAAAGATGTTAGGGAGAATTTTATGGAAAAAAATCTTAGTATACTCTAAGAAAATTAATACTTTTAACAGTACTGAGGCTTTCCAAACACATGTAATTCTATACTCCATTTTGTCAAAATCAGCACTTTTGGCCAGATGTGGTGGCTCACACCTGTAATCCTAGCACTTTGGGAGGCCAAGGTAGGAGGACCCCTTAAGCCTAGGAGTTGGAGACCAGCCTGGACAACACAGGGAGACTGTGTCTCTAAAAAATAAAAAATTTTTTAAAACACCAATATTTCTATTTCCACATAAAAATTTAAGATTCACACTCTCATTGAACAAAACTTATAATCTAAACAATTTGAGATTTTATTACTTTTTGTTCACTACTGTATCCCAGCATGAAACCTAACACATAACATCTCAAAAACCTAATGACAATAAGAAAGCACAAAACCTGCGTATATACAGGCTGAGTATCCCTAATCTGAAAATCCAAAATGCAAAACTCTTTGAAAGCCGTATGATGCTAAAAGGAAATGCTCATTGGAACATTTCATAGTTTGGATTTTTGGATCAGGAATACTTAAGTATTCCACAAATATTACAAGTATACCACAAATATTCCAAAACCAGAAAAAAATCTGAAATCTGAAACACTTCTGGTCCCAAGCATTTCAGATAAGGGATACTTGACCTGTACTACGTCTGCAATTAAACGGTTATGTGTGAATGTGGACAAACATTAGGAAGCAAATGTACACAAATGTAAATAGTTGACATATAGATGGTCAGCTATTTTCTTGGGTTGGAGAAGATCTCTACATCCCACCCCACCCCAAATTACTTTAACAACTGAACTAGTCATTTTGTGTTGTTTTTTTAAATTCACCCCCAGGATACAAAAGCCGAAAACGTCCTACTACTGATATTTCTATTTATTATCAACATGGTAGCCCATTATTTTAAAACATTCATTATAATCTGCATTTGTTTATCACACTCAAATCATTGTATGATACTGTCAAAGCTCTTCTAATAAAAATCCTCTTTTGGCCTGGAGCAGTGGCTCACGTCTGCAATCCTAACACTTTGGGGGACCCAGGCAGGCAGACTGGCTGAGCTCAAGAGTTCGAGACCACGCTGGGCAACACGATGAAACCCCATCTCCACTGATACTACAAAAAATTAATCAGGCATTGTGGCACACGCCTGTAGGCCCAGCTACTCAGGAGGCTGAGGCACGAAAACTGCTTGAGCCTGGGAGGCAGGTGTTGCAGCAAGCTGAGATCACAGCACTGCACTCCAACCTGGATGACAGAGCGAGACTCTCTGTCTCAAAAAAACAAAACAAAAACCTCTCTTGGCCAGTTGCAGTGGCTCATGCCTGTAATCCCAACACTTTGGGAGGCCAAGGTGGGCAGATGACTTGAGGTCAGGAGTTCCAGACCAGCTTGGCCAACATGGTGAAACCCCGTCTCTACTAAAAACACAAAAATTAGCTGGGTGTAATCCCTGCTACTTGGGAGGCTGAGGCAAGAGAATCACTTGAACCTGGGAGGCGGAGGTTGCAGCAAGCAAAGATCGCGCCACTACACTCCAGCCTGAGTGACAGAATGAGACTATCTCAAAAAAACAAAAGCCAAAAAAAACCTCCTTTAAGGGAAGATACTGTAATAATATATAATAAAACTCTGAAAAGATAAGACTTTGATGTGATAGGAAGGGTAAAAATGGCAGAACATAATGTCTGCTTACTCAAAAGAGCTCTGTTACATCACACTACGTCATCCTGTAGTCATTTCTTCAATGTTTTTTCAAAAAGCACTGAGACCTCTAAGACACAAAAAGTGGGATCAGATAACCATACAGTTACTTATGACAGGAAATGACCTCAGCTACCAGCAAACTGATGAAATTTCAAATGAAAGTCCCAAAGAAAACAATCTTATTTTTTTGAGATCAGGTTTTTTTAATCTTTTTTACAACTGTGGTATTATTAATTCTGCTTTTGTAAAATACATTACTTCACCTTTAACAAGTTTGGGGCTTGTTAACGTCAACATCCCAGCATGCCCTGATAGATCAAGGCCACTAGCAAGCCATACTGGCCCACATAGAATGTCTTCTTTATGATCCTCCAAAAATGGACATAATCTAAGACCTAAAAAGAAAAATACATATTTTTCTTTTAAATTCATTTATTTAAAATGTAATATTTAATAAGCAAATATCATCCCATTTACATATAATACCACCACAAAAATTACCATACTTAGAATGTGTTAAAATAAGAATTGTCATGCTAAGGAACTATAATCAATTATTTGTTACATTGTTTTCCATTCCCATATTATTTTACAATTCACCTTTATTTTCAAAAAATTATAAATCACGACTTGATTTCAAATCCCAAGATATTAAAAACCAAGAATGCAAGTATTAGCGCAGCTGTGTTCACAAAAGATGAGCTGAAAGTTAAAGCATATTGCCAAAGCAGAATTATAGGTTATTTTTTAATTGTGTTCTTGAAACCAAGTTTTTGCAAGCCATAAGGAAATCTTGCCCGACATGTTGCATTCAGATCACTACTCCTTTTACTGTCATGGACAACAGCTCTATAATTTAACTCACACTGTGATTCCTCTACATCCATGTGCTGCATTTCTTCATTCAAATCAACCAGGGACGGTTTCCCATTTTGTTCCACTTCAATGTTAAGAGCTGGAGACAAAGGAAAGGTGATCTGCCTATCTACTGCTGTTTCTAGAGGATAAAAAATTAGTAAACTTAATTTTCTTTAATATCAATGATTTATGTGCCTAAAAAATCTAAAATTTCCTGTTAACTTGGGAACTTGTGTGATTTTCATCACAGATGCTTTAAAATGGTTGGAGGAAAATTTTGATTCAATTGTTTTATACATTCTTCTCTCTTTTAATGGTAACAAAATATTTGCCTAAAGAAACAATCTGCTGGCACCTTAACTAAAAGTTCTTACCCTAGGCTGCATACTATAAGCACTTGCAGAGCTTTAAAACTACTAAATCCTGAGTCCTCTACCCAATTAATTCAAAATCTGTCAAAAGATTGCAAACATACGAACACACCCATATACACACAAACTCACATAAATACACAGACACACATACAGTCATCCACCCCTCGGTATTTGTAGGGAATTAGTTCCAGGACCCTCCCAGATGCCAAAATCCACAGATGTTCGAGTCCCTTATACAAAATGGCATAATATTTGTATACAATCTTATTCATATCCTCCTGTATACTTTCAATCATCTGTAGTTTACTAATAAAACCTAATAAAATGTGAATGCCATGCAAATACTATTTATTTATTTCAGACAGAGTCTCACTCTGTCACCTAGGCTGGAGTGCAGTGGTGCAGTCATAGCTGACTGTAACCTCCAAATCCTGGGCTCAAGTGATCCTCCTGCCTCAGCCTCATGAGTACTGCCACCTGAGTAGTGCCACAGGTGCGCACCACCACACCCAGCTAATTTTTTTTTTTAATTTTTGCAGCCATGTGGTCTTGCTACACGGCCCAGGCTGGTCTCAAATTCCTGGGCTAAAGTGATCCTCCTGCCTTGGCCTCTCAAAATGCTGGGATTAGAGGCATGAGCCACCATATGTGGTCTAATATTACCTTTTATTTGTATATTTTCTTATTGTATTGATTTTTTATTTCCCACCCCCACCCAAAATAATATTTTCAATCCATGATTGGTTGTTTCTGAGGTTGGTAGACTGCTGGGATGTGAAACCCACAGATAGTGCCAGATGTATGCGTACTTTTTCAAAAAAGAAAATTTTCAAGTTTCAATGTTTCAAACTGGAGTTAAGTTGCCATTTTACCGTGAAATTATCCCCAGTCCCTTAAACTAACTTATTAAGGAGAAAACAGTGAGTAGTAACAGCTAGTTTCTAACCATACTAAATGTGTATAATCTACTTTAATAACTCAGTACAACAAATTCTGAACTTGTAAGAAAGCTAAATAAAAATGAGCGTATTTTTAGCATTACATGAAAGGCTGGCTTCACTAATAACCTTGAAAGTAACTTCCATAACAGTTCTATTCACATTCAAGTCTTCTCCTAAGAAAAGAAATACATAAAGCTAGTAATGCTAAAAGTCAAACTAATTTACACAGGAACTAATCCCACTTCCAAAAAAGCATAATTATATGATTCAAGTTTATGCAATTCTGAACATTACTGGGTTACTGAAAAGTTTTGAAATGTTCTCTGAATTACTTTTCTAAATAAAATCACAAAAAGTAGAGCAGGCAAATGGCAATAACAGGCAGAAAGGGACACAAAACTTAGCCAAGTTGAAAATTAGTTTCAGAAATCAACCACAAAATAAAATCTTCAACAAGAAATTTTGATCCATTCTTACCATTGACTTTCCCTAATCCTGGAGCTTTATTTTTCAGCAGTGTCACTTGTATCTGTGGAATATTGGTGATGTTTGAGTTCAAAACGAATTTGAAGTCCACATGTCCAACCATACAAGCTTTAGGTAGCACTAATTCAAATACATGTTCATCCCAGCTGTTGCTGTCAAATAAGGGGAAAAATGCTAAATAAAGCAAATATCTTACTTCAGCCACAACCATATAATCATTAAGGTCACCTTTCTACTTTTTGCTTTGCAGTTTCCAATAAAATTTAGTGTTTCTCAATGGGATCAAGAGAGAAAATAGCTCCCAAAGGAGAAGGTTAAACATAGGGCAATGAATGATCTTACTTTAGAAATCTACACCTGCCTTGAGACTCGCACATACCAATAAACTCTTATTCCTCAAAGTGTGAACGATTTAATGTGAATATCCTGCAAATTCCTGGTACCCACCCTAGATCTATGAATAGGGTCCCAGAATCTTCATTTTAAAACAACAATTTCTTGCATTTCTTATATATATTCATTCTTGGGTTTTAAATGCTATATATATGCTGGAAAATGAAAATCTCCAAACTCCTCCACTAAATGTAAGGCTCACATCCAAAAGTCTACTAAACATCTCAAACTCATTATGAAAAACCCACTCTCAAATCTCAGTAAACAGAAACTTCATTTTCCAGTGAACTCAGGCCAAAACCTGAAAGCCATCCTTTATTCTCCTCTCTCACACAGTGTGTTCAATACATCAGCAAATTCTATTCCTTGTACCTCCAAATTATATCCAGAATCTAACCACCCTTTTCACTACCTCCATCACTACCACAATGGTCCAAGCTACCATCAGCATTCCTGAATTAGCACAACAGCAACCAAACTAGAACCATTCTATCACTGCCCTCCACCACCACAACCATCATTCTAAATACAGAAGTCAAAGTAATCTTTGTAAAATATAAATCATACCACATCACTCCTGTATTCAAACCTGCTAACACTTTCCCATCTCACGTAGCATGAGAGCCTTTTTTTTTTTTTTGAAATGGGCATCTTACTCTGTCACCCAGGCCAGAGTGCAGTGGCACAATCATGGCTCACTACAGCCTGGACCGCCTGGGCTCAAGTGATTCTCCTACCTCAGTTTCCCAAATATCTGGGACCACAGGCACATACCACCATGTCCAGCTAAATTTTATTTATAGATACGAGGTCTCCCTATATTGCCCAGGTGGGTCTTGAACACCTGGGCTCAAGTGATCCTCCTGAGTCAGTCTCCCAAAATGCTAGGATTACAGATATGAGCCACTGTGCCTGACCTTTTATAAAGGCATTCATTATCCAGCTCCCAGGTACCCTCTACCTCTTTTTTTCTTTTTGTGATGGAGTCTCTCTCTGTAGCCCAGGCTGGACAGCAGTGGAGCGCAATCTTGGCTTACTGCAGCCTCCACCTCCCAGGATCAAGCAATTCTCTGCCTCAGCCTCCCAAGTAGTTGGGATTACAGGTGCACACCACCACACCCAGCTACTTTTTGCATTTTTAGTAGAGATGGGGTTTCACCATGTTGGCCAAGCTGGTCTCAAACTCCTGGCCTCAAGTGATTTACCTGCCTTGGCTTCCCAAAGTGCTGGGATTACAAGCATGAGTGATCATCCCCAGCTCACAGCTACCTCTTTGGATCTCCCTCCCTACCACTCTTCTCTATATTCACAGCACTCCAACAACAATGGTCATATTTCTCTTCCGAGAATTCACAAAATATACTCCTCAGGGTTCTGTATTGCTATTGTCATGGAAGACTTTCTTAGGCCCCTTATATTGAAAATATCATACACACTGTCTCTCTTTTTCTCTCACTTTCTCACACTTACATGCAATTACCTATCCAACAACTACTCGATTGCCATACTCTGTTTTAACAGTCTTCATAGCTTTTATGCCCATATGGCATGGTATATGTATCTGTCTACTTTCTATTGCCATTAGGAGGTAAATTCCATGAGACCCATATTACTAGTGACTATAACAGTGCCTGCTTTTATTAAATACAAAACAAGCATTTGAGTATTTGTTAAATAAATCTGTGAACTAAGTGACCAAACTAATTGCAGTAGTAAATTACTCTCATTATTTTATCCTAAAATTCAGAATAAGAATATAAGTTTCCAAAATCAGTGTGACAAACAGAAGGAACAAAGTCATCAACATGCAAAAATTAGCTTACATATTTGTTAGAGACAACACAGAATTCCTAGGTATATTACTGTTTATCTTTTAAACTCTCTAAAAGATAAACAGTTTAAAAGATAAACAGGTCAGGCACGGTGGCTCATGCCGATAATCCCAGCACTTTGGGAGGCCAAGGTGGGTGGATCACCTGAGATCAGGAGTTCGAGACCAGCCTGGCCAACAGAGTGAAACTCCATCTCTACCTAAAATACAAAAATTAGCCAGACGTGGTGGCAGACACCTGTAATCCCAGCTACTTGAGAGGCTGAGGCAGCAGAATCACTTGAACCCAGGAGGCAGTGGTTGCAGTGAGCCGAGATCGTGCCACTGCACTCCAGCCTGGGTGACAGAATGAGACTGTCTCAAAAAAAAAAAAAAAAAAAAAAAAAAAAGATAAACAGTAATAAACCTAGGAATTCTACATTGTCTCTAACAAATATATAACATTAACTTAAAATTAAACATCTTCGGAAAATCTTTTACCTGTCGGTCTGTAGTTTCCAAGTTCGAGTATGCTGAGCAGCATCACCATGGTGTTGCTGATGCAAATGTTGAGGGTGCCTCCTTTGCTGCTGTTCTTGTTGAACTTCTACCCAGCATGGAGGAACAGTCGCTGAAAACCTTGGAGTCAAAGTCTCAAAGCGGGTTAGCTCCACTAGAGATGTCAAGATTTCGAGGGTGAATGGCTGGTCCACCAATAAATCAACTCCTTAAAATTAGTGAGAGTAGTATTTGAAATAGGTGTTTTAAAAAAAAAAAAAAGAAGACAATGAAGTTTTAATTAACGGTTATGTTTTCTATTGCAACACTTGCCAAATATTCTGAAAGTTAATAAAGTGGACTCAGGTATCTACATATAACTAAGATAACTAACTCTGGCTAAATAATAGCAAAGAAGAAAATTCTAACTTAAATATTTAAAATTAGAGACAATACTCACTATTGAAGAAACCCAAACCCGTCAGAAAAGGTCTTACTGAACTTTAGCCCTAATAAGGACGGCAAGAAAAGTAGTGGTACTAAAGTGCAAGCCAATGTACATCAGACCAAAATTCACTTTTAGACCCTGTTTTTTACAAAATAAATGCTAGACATCAGCAAGTACATAACATATGCCCTTTTATAATGAATAAAAAACTAAAACAGTCAAAAGCTATATGATAAATAAATACTTACAAACTGAAAAATTAAATTGTGTTTTTTCTATTTCTGTGGCAGTTAAGAAAATCTTGTGTACATGCTAGTATTATAAAAGTAATAACGTGCTTCATACTGATTAGGTTTCTTTACAAATGCTATGCATGTATTCATATCAGTGAAATGTATAACATTAAAAAATGCTGAGAAGCTGTTGTTCCCATTTTTAAAAAGTAATGAAATACTAAAATATAAAATCTGGTAGGTTTAGAATATTTTCACAAAGAAAAAAATGATGGCAAGTTTTATAAAATTATTACAAGTTTAATTCAAATTACATCTTTTTCTCAAAGTCTAGACCCTTTTAAATCTGATTAGTTTGTAAATATTAACAGCATGTCAATCTCCTTTCTTTACATTATTTCTTCATTACAAAATTCATCTTTCCTCTACTAAAAAGTAGTTTTCTGTACTTTATATAAAAATCTTTCTCCATTTAACCAATAACCTATAAAATATGAGAATATTCAGTATTTTAGCTTTTTATACCAAGTTGTATACTTAACCAAGACATCTTGGTTAATTCAAGTAACTGGAGATTGAGAAGCAGACTACAATGATTTCATAAAAGTCTACAAGGCAAATAATGATTTTTCGGCAGGGAGTAACATGCTAGCAAAACTTCTTTTGAAAAATTAGCTCTGGAGGGCAATGTGGGACAAGGATGGGGGAAAAAAGGCAAAAACAACAAACAAATATAAACAAATCTATCTAGAGATTCAGGATGGGACAACATATGTGTGAATATACCACCTAAATATATACTCAGTGACAGCATTTTTTTCAGCTTTTCAATTCCAGTAGTAATATTAATAAATGAGCCAGTCTACTAATTTTATACTTACTTAATGAATTCTCTTTTATATGATTTTTCCCTCCTCTAATTAGACTAAAAGCTCATTAACGGCTGAAATGTTTGTTTTAACCTCTTAGATGACTTCACAAATATTGAGTAACATACCACACAGGTTGAGAATCACTCCTTACTTTAATATGTTTACATCTTCCGACAACTAGAAAAAAGACAAATAATACCTAATCATTTTTTTTAAATCATTTAAAAAATTAGTATCATACCTGAAATGCCGGGACTTGAAGGATTTGATAAAGGCTTGGAACCTTCTGAAGATGGTTCTATTCCTTTAGAAAGAGATCCATCCACTAGTATATCAGCTTCATCAATATCATCACAGGTTCCTCCAATTTGGAGAAAATGAAGCTCACCACCTACAGTGCAGCAAATTTCATAGATACATGAAAAATGGGTAAACATTCAAATATTCAAATGTAATACTACTTAGGAAACAATTTAATGTCACTTCATAGGCAGATAAGGAAAGCTACCAATGTGATGTATTTCCAAGAGTTTAGAAATTTAATTGCCAAGGAATTACAAATTGAAGCCAAATTTTTAGGAAGAAAATGATAAATACATAAACATACATGAAAGCAGGTATTTATCTAGTACTTACTTTTATGAGACAGTATTTTAAGTGCTTTAATTAATTCATTTACTCTTTACCAAAAACTCGTGTGGTAGAACTATTACTGTGGCTATTTTACAGATGAGGCACTAGCTATACTGGAATCCACAGCCAAATCTCTTAATCTCAACAGTAACAAAACTTGACAAATACTCTTATTTTTTAAAGCATTCACAATGAAATGAAGGCAACTAAAATTTCTAGTTTAAAATCTCTGTCACAGGAAAAAAACTGACAGCAAATTTAGCATTAATTAAGACAAAAAAATAGTATATTCTAACATTCTAATTTGGAGATTCACTTCTAGCACGGCAGAAGGAGGAAGACGATAAATCCCCTTCCTGAAAGGCAACTATAAAGCTAGACAAAACTGTAATTTAACGAGGGTGAGGTAAGCAGGGAAAACCAGCAGATTCACTGTTATCTCCAGATGGGACTCAATTGACGGAGAGTTTCCAGTTTAAAGTGGTGATTTCAATGGGAAACAAACAAGGTCTGCTACTTGAGGTCACAATTCTGTCTGGGGCAAGCAAAGCACTAGAAACACCAGGGATTTAACACGGAATTACATGTAGTGAGAGAAGCACAGTGGGCCTGGTAAACACTCCACAAATCCCACCTTGACCAGAGGCTGTGCACGTGTCCAGCAAAGACCAGAGGGAGCCCAAGCCATTACTACATCCTCAGTCAACTAAGCCTCCATGCCTATGCAAAAGAGACCTGAGAAAACACAACAGAAAATAAAAGCCAGGGCACACTTGAGCACAGCCTTACTGGCCAAAGGTATTTGGACACTACAACCTATCAATCTTTGGCTGAATACTAAGCTATGCTGCCACAGAAGAAACAAAATAAGAAACAAGTCTTATAAATTAAAACTAGGCAGAATAAATGACAGAAATCAGCAGCTGCACAATACAAAAGAGATTTCACAGATTCAGCCAGATGAATTACAAAACAAAGCAATAACCACCTGGCAAAAGGTAGGGAGATCCAAATCTAGATTTCTATAGTGTTGTCTTAAATGTCCAGTAAGTAAATAAAATATTACAAGACATGCAAAGAAAGAGGGACCCACATTCAACATGTGAAACACACACCCACGCACCTTAAAATGTCTTCTCAGACTTCAGATTTAGCAAAGACTTCAAGGATCTATTGTAAACATTTTTATAGAATAAGAGGAAGTCAGGGGTATAGAGAATTACAGGAAATAATGGTATAAACAACTCAACAAAAAAAAAATTTTTTTTTAATTAAAGGCTGGGAGCAGTGGCTCACGCCTGTAATCCCAGCACTTTGGGAGACCGAGGTGGGCAGATCACCTGAGGTCAGGAGTTCGATACCAGCCTGGCCAACACGGTGAAACCCTGTCTCTACTAAAAATACAAAAATTAGCCAGGCATGGTGGCAGGCGCCTATAATCCCCTGAGCTACTCAGGAGGCTAAGACAGGAAAATCACTTGAACCCGGGAGGTGGAGGTTGTAGTGAGCTGAGATCGCGCCACTGCACTCCAGCCTGGGCGACAACAGCAAGACTTTGGTCTCAAAAAAAATTAAATTAAATTAAACAAAAATTAAAAGAAGCTTGGAGACCTATGGGACAGATAAAATATTAAGAACATACATGTAATGGGAATTCCATGAAGAAGAGAATTCCACCTGTAAAAATAATGGGCAAAAACTTACCAAATCCAATAGAAAACTGCAAATTTACTCAAGTTTAATTACCCTCAAGTAGGATAAACAAAGAAATAACACACATATATATAAGCTCTTGAGCGTGAAAGGCAAAGGGAAGATCATGAAGACAGCAAGACAAAAATTACTCATCAGACATGAAAACAACACCACAAATTAATAGATCACTTATGAGAAACAATGGAGACAGAAGCAATGGAATGACATTTAAAGTACAGAGAGAAACTGTCAACAGATTCTCTAGGTAGCGTTAATCCTCAAAAATGAATGTGAAATGAAGACATTTCCAGAAAAACAAAGACTGAGAGAACTTTATGCTAGCAACCTGCCTTATGGTAAGTAACAAAGAAAGCCCCTTAAGAGGAAGGAAAGCAACATCAAATTCACTGGAAAAAATAAAGAACAGAAATGGTAAGTAGGCGAATACAATAAATAAATGTTTTTCTCATTTCTTTGCCAACTTTTAAAAAAGATAATGGTTGTATAAAATAATTACAACACGTTTTGTTGGTTTTGTGGTTTTTTTTATTTAGACGGAGTCTTGCTCTGTTGCCCAGGCTGGAGTGTGATGGCGTGATCTCGGTTCACCGCAACCTCCGCCTCCCGGGTTCAAGTGATTCTCCCTGCCTCAGCCTCCTGAGTAGTTGGGATTACAGATGCCCACCACACTTGGCTAATTTTTGCATTTTTAGTAGAGACAAGGTTTTGCCATGCTGGCCAGTCTGGTCTTAAACTCCTGAGCTCAGGTGATCTGCCCACCTTGGCCTCCCAAAGTGCTAGGATTACAGGCATGAGCCACCGCATCCAGCCATTTTGTTGGGTTTATAACATACTTAAATGTAATATATGGGGTGGGGGGAGATAAGAGCAAAGTTCCTACATATTTTACGAGAATAAAGTATTATTCTGAAGTAGACTGTATTATTAAAGCACGAAAATATAACTCAAAAAAAAAGCAGTATCAGAAAAAGAAACCAGAATCAACATGAGGACCAATAATTTCATGCCAAATGGCAGAGTAGGAAGCTCTAGGGATCAGTCCCTCCACCAAAGCAACCACTGAACTAGAAAGTGTGATTGGAATCAAGTATTTCAGAACTATGGGACCGAACAGGGTATTTACAGAGAGACTGATCTCTGGTAAGACAGTGGCCTACATGAACCAGCTACCATCCCCTCCATCCTCAGCCCTGACACAGCTGTGGGGAAAAGTGGTACCTGTGCTGGAAGCAGCTGGCTGGTGCCAGGGCGGACAGGAGGGACCTTTTCTTCCCAAAATTGTGCATTTTGGTTGGTCTAGCAGTTACCTAAGGGACCAGAATAGACTCCTGCCTGGGTTTCACCCTTCTGAGACTGCAGCTGCTTCTCCAAGCAGCAGCCACCAGAAGATTTAAGGGGAAAAAGCCGAAACAGGATCTACAGTAAGATTTAAAGAGACAGAACTCTTTTTTGGAAGGATAAGAGTGGGGAGAGGGTTCAAAGCTTTTGTACAAACAGTTTGAAAATGTCACAAATGGATGGCTGCAGCTGGAAACAAGCAAAATCTCCCTGAGTGAGAGAATAAGATTTCTAGAGGTACCACATTACAATACTCAGAAGGTTCTGACTACAACAAAAAATTACAAAGCACTCAAAGAAACAGCAAAGTATGGCCCATTTACACGAGGAAAAAAAAAAAAGAATTATCAGAAACCGTATCTGAGAAAGCCCAGATATTGGAATTACTAGTCAAAAACATTAAATGAATTATCTTTATATAGTCAATTAGCTAAAGGGAACAACGGACAAAAACTAAAGAAAAACAGGAAAATGATGTATGAACGTAAGATTATCAACAAAAAAGTAAAACTGGACTTTTTCAAAATGCCAATGTTTTGTGCATCAAAGGACACTATCAAGAAAGTAAAAAGACAACCCACAGAATGTGAGAAAATATTTACAAATCATATCTATTAAGATATGAATTCTGAATTTCTAAAAAAGTTCCTACAACTCAACCAAAAAAAAAACAAACAAACAACTCAAAAGTGGACAAAAACATGGACATTTCTACATGTATCATAGAAATACAAATGACCAACAAACACATGAAGAAATGCTCAGCATCATTATTCATTAGGAAAGTGCAAACCAAAACCACAATAGATACCACTTCACAACCACTAGGGTGACTATTACCAAAAAGACCAAAAATAACAAATGTTGGCCAGAACGTAGAAAAATTGGGACCCTTCCAAACTGCTTGTGGAAATGTAAAACGCTGCAGACTCTGTGGAAAATAACTTGGTGATTCCCAAAAGGTTAAACATAGGCCAGACGCAGTGGCTCACATCTATAATCCCAGCACTTTGGGAGGCCAAGGTGGGAGGATCACCTGAGGTCAGGAGTTGGAGACCAGCCTGGTCAACATGGCGAAATACCATCTCTACTAAAAATACAAAAAATAGCTGGGCGTGGTGGTGCATGCCTGTAATCCCAGCTACTTGGGAGGCTGAGGCATAAGACTCACTTGAACTGGGGAGGC